GGATTTTTTTTTTTTTTTTTTTTTGGCTATTGAGTTGTATGAGTTTCTTATATAATTTGAATATCAACCTCTTATCAAATATATGATTTACAAATATATTTTCCCCATCCTGTATGTTGCCTTTCTATTTTGTTTCTTTTGCTGTGCAGAAGCTTTTTAGTTTGTTGTAGTCCTACTTTTCTACTTTTGCTTTTGTTCCCTGTGCTTTTGGTATCATATCTAAAAAATCATTGCTAAGACCAATGTAAAGGAACTTTTCTCCTATGTTTGCTTCTAGGAGTTTTATGGTTGCAGGTCTTAAATTTAAGTCATTAAACTATTTTGAGTTGTGTTTTTTCTTTTCTTTTTGTATAGTGTAAGGTAAGGGTCTAATTTCATTCTTTTTCATGCATTTATCCAGTTTTCCCAGCACCATTTATTGAAGAGACTATACTTTCCCCATGTGTGTTCTTGGCACATTTGTTGAAGATAGTTGACTGTATATACATGAGTTCTCTATTTTTGAGCTCTCTGTTCTCTTCCGTTGGTCTATGTGGCTGCTTTTATGCCAGTACCATATTGTTTTGATTACTGTAGTTTTGTAATATAGTTTGAAATCAGGAAGTGTGTTGACTATTATTTGTCTTTTGCGGTTTTATGTGAATTGTTTTTTTTGTTTCTGTGAAAAATGCCATTGGAATTTTGATAGGGGTTGCATGGAACTGGTAAATTGCTTTGGGTTGTATGGACATTTTAACAGTATTCTTCAAATCCATAAGCATGGGATATTTTGCCATTTGTTTGTTTATTGTTTTATTCTTCAATTTCTTTCATCTATGTTTTATAGTTGTTAGTATACAGATCAATCACCTAACTGATTAAATTTTTCTTAAGTATTTTATTCTTTTTGGTGCTATTGCAAATAGATAGTTTTCTTAATTTCTTTTTCAAATAGTTTGTTGTTAGTGTATAGAAATACAACTGATGTTTGTATGTTGATTTTTTTATCCTGAAATTACTAAAATTGTTATTAGTTCTAACAGTTTTTAGATGGTGTTTGCAGAGTTTTCTGTGTATAGGATCATGTCATCTGCCAACAAACACAATTTTACTTCTTTTTCTTTTCAATTTGGATGCCTTTTATTTCTTTTTATTATTTGATTGCTCTGGCTAGGACTTTCAGTACTATGTTGAATAAAAGTTGCAGAAGTGGTCATCGTCTCATTTCTGATGAGCTTTTCACTGTTGAGTATGATGTTGACAGTGGCTTGTTATATATGGCCGTTATTGTGATGATAAACATTCCTTCTGTATTTAATTTGTTGAAAGTTTTTTAAAAATTTAGTTTTATTATTGAAAGTATTACAGATGTCCCCTTCCCCCCCTTAACACCGCGCTCCCGCCCCTCCCCAGGCCTTCCCCTCGCTATTGTCTGTCCATGGGCTATGCATGTATGCATATAAGTTCATTGGTGTTTTGGATGGTATCCTATAAGTCCAGTAGGCTTTCTTTAATTTTTTTTTCTTTTTGTACCTCTGACTAGATAACTCAAATGATCTTTCCTTCAGTTCGCTGGTCGTTTATCCTGAATGCTCTCATCTGTTGTTGAACCCCTCTAGTGGATTTGCAGTTCAGTCATTGTATTATTCAGCTCCAGCATTTCTGTTTGATTCTTTTTTACGGTTTCTGTCTCTTGGTTAAACTTCTCATTTGTATATGTATTGTTTTCCTGATATAGTTGATTTGTGTACCTGTGTTTTCTCTTCTCTCATTGAGTTTTTAAAAAGTGGTTATTTTGAATTCTTTTCATGGCGATTAGTAAATCTCCATTTCTTTGGGAACAGCTACTGGAATTTATTTTGTTCCTTTGGTGATATTATATTTCTTTGGTTCTTCATCTTCTTTCAAACTTTGCATTGTTGTCTTTACATTTGAAGAAACAGGCACCTTCTGAAGTCTTCACTGACTGGCTTCAATAAGCCCAGGTAGAAATACTGGAGTCTCTCAGATTCTTTCTGTGAATGCAGCTGCTCTGTTCCTCTTGTTACCCCTGAGAGAGAAGTCTTAGACTGTGTGCCTTCTCTTGATACCACAAACCCAGGCTGGCTGCTGAGAGCACCCTATTTATTTTCCCTAGGGCAGTGCCTCGAAGTGTTTAATGTGTACTCTGCCAATCTGACAGATCCAGCTGGATGCTGATATTCGTGTGATGTTTGTGGGACCTCAAATACATCATCTGCAGGGGAGTATGGGTATTGGCTACAGCATGGTGTGGTGCATGGAGTGCTGGGGGTCCACATCACCTAGTTGTAGGGTCTGTAGTTTAGGGGTCCTACTGGATTAGTGGATGGAGCTCTTGTTGAAGTCTGTAATGCAGTTAGTAGGATCTCCTGCTGGTTGAGATCCATGCACTGGTTGCTGTGAGCTTCTACCCCTTTTCTCTGCTCTTTGCTGTTTCAAAATTATTCAGCTCTTCCAATCCCTTCAGTGTTCTGGGTGAGAAGAAATGGAAATGAGCTCCTTGGGCAACATCCCAAAAGGCTGGGGAAGCTGAGTGCTCACTTTGCTCTCACTTTCTCCCATGGGAGACATTACTGGTCACCATGGTCTCTTTTGGCCCTGAGCTGTGCTGCCTTGGGAGAGGAGTAACATGGGTAAAGTGAAACTGTTCTTATCCTTGTCAATGCTTCTATTCTTTTATTTTTTGCTCTACTGGGGTGTTGAAGCCTCTCAGCTATACTCCCAGGCTTCCATAAATGTATTCTCATTCATAAGTCATTGTGAAAAATCAGTGTTTCTGTGGGGGTGTAAGGTATGGATATTCTTATTTCATCATCTTACAGAAATCCAGAAGAGATAGTTCTTCATTACAGTAGGTCTCAAACATCTAGTGGTATTTCACAGAACATTCAAGTTATTTTTTAAAAACTTATCTTTTTATTGATTTGATGACAAGGTTAGTAAAAACTGTTATAGAATGTGAATAGTATAGTAGTCTAAGAGGGATCAAGAGGCAAGTGTGGGGGTGTCAGATGTCAGAGCAGATGTCAGATGTCTGAACTCTGGTTTGAGTTTAGGTGAGCTTTACAAACCTGAGGAGTCTTAAATGTCAAGCAAGTGAAAATCCAAAGGCTAAGATAGTTTGAGGAATGGCCTTGTAGAACAGGAAATTGAATGACTTAATCATGTAATAGAGACTGTTTTCTGAGATAAAACCACATCCTGAAATTACTCATTTCTTCTTGTGATTCTTACAGGTAAGCAGATTTGAAATTTAATTAACTTCTTGTATCATCACAATACTGGACACATGTTAACTGTTCCTATCACATCTTCTGATTGCAGTCAAGCAATCAAAGAGCAATTCTGTTGCCCACAGTGTCTCTTCTTAATGATGATATCACATTGGAGGGACATTTTAAAAAATGTTTTAATTGGTTTAATTATTGATATGAAACATTGGAGTGGAATGTTTGTACTAAATTAGTGAGCCAAAGGAAGATACGGTAAAAATGGTAAGTGAAGTAAGGAGATAGACTTAAATGTAAGTAAATCCTTGACTGATGGCCAAGCCCAGGGTTGGGATTATTGTCTCACCCAAAAGATTATGCATTGGATAACAAAAATATTAAATATGGCATTTGTAAAATTTATATCCTTTTTTTCTCATTTTTCCACATAAAAGAGTTTATATTTTTATATAATATGTGAATATTACATAGTACTATTTTTTTCTAATTGTTTTAAAACAATTTCTCTTTCTGTAATAATTTTCTCCTCCTAGCCTGTTCCTGGAGTTACAGCTTTTAAAATTTTATCCTGGCTACTTTTGACCCCCAAATGTTTATTATAATGTTATATATAGTGCAATGATCAATTTAAGATTTTATACACACATGTACACAATATACAGAGCTCTCTCTAGATATGTGCATATATAAAATGATAAGATTATACAGTCTGAAGATCAGTGATGTTCAGTGTGTGTGTTTGTGTGTGTGTATAGATTTACACATGGACACACATTTGAAGATAATTATATGATTTCATTTTATGTTAAGGATTATTTGGAGAGCTTTTATTCAATACTAACTCTCTAATTGCCACATTATATGCCTAAATGTTGGAAAATCTTCCTCTCTTAATGTGTTTTAGTAAAGAACTCTTAGACCCTCACACCTTTCATCTTTTCTTCAGAGACTATAGGTTATCTCAACTTCTATTGCTTGGAGACATATCTAATGGAAACCTTAAAAATACCATGTCAGTTTGCAATAATGGGAAATAGCTGGAAGTTATAATAGATGAATAGAAATATGGAGTTTCACTTTTTCAATGACTAATCACAATTCAAAATTCTTTTGGATTTGTTAGTGTTAAAGTTAATTAGAGTAAGGCGATTTACAGTAAGGCATAATGAAATGGATATTGAATTAGGTATTATTAGACCTGGATACTTCTCTGAACTTTACCATTGCTTGCTCAGTGACTTTGGGTAAAACAGTCTCAGTCTCACTCATCATTAGTTTAATATCTTGCTGCCCACCTCTTTATAGTATTGTCAGGATTTCATTATATATGTGAGAATATTATGTAAAAATGAAGTTCTATGTGAAGGTGAATATTGTAAATAATAATATGCCATGACTGTATTAAGCATTCATATTGTTCTTATAACAGTTTTATGAGATAAGCAATGTTAATATTCCATCTTTACAGATCAGGAAGGTGAGTCTCAGAGTATGTAAGACCCCTGAGTTAGCTCACACTGTTGGTGAGTGGGAAAGGCAAGACGTGAATACAGGCCTGTCTGAAATTAGAACTGATGCTCATAATTGAACAATTTTTGTCACTCATCTGAGTAATGATTGCTACGTATAATTATACACGAACTGGGTGAGGCAGTAAAATGCAATTTTCTTTATTATCACATCTGAATTCTAAATGCGAAAACAATATTTAATATTCTTAAAAATAGGATACTATGAAATTCTAACCATCCAAATGTGTTTTTTCTTTAGAATTTAATTGTCTTGGATCCACTCACGGTGACTGAGGAGGAAATAAGACCATCACTAGAGCAACGTCTTGAAGCCATTATCAGTGGGGCTGCTCTGTTGGCTGACTCTTCGTGCACGAGGGATTTCCATCGGGAGCGGATCATCGCAGAGTGCAACGCCATTCGCCAGGCTCTCCAGGACCTGCTTTCAGAGTACATGAACAATGTGAGTAACTGGTTCCCCCCATTCTGTACATTGGGTATGTGCTGGGTTTCTTTCCGTGTACAAAATGTGATCAATCATAAATGAGTACTTGACTTTACATAGATTGTCTTTCTGACTGGGTTCTGCTTCAGTTGCTCACAGAGGATGGCAGTGAGAGAGGAGTTTCTAGGGATGGAGTCCAACCAGAAGGTTCTTTACATATGATTGCTTTGTTTGAAACAGTATGTAAATATTAATTGAAGAAGGGAGCCAGGATTGGAGAAAAGAACCTGGAGGTGACATCAATGAAAGGATAGAGAAGATAAAGAAGGCGAGTTTCTCGGGCTAAAGTTGGTGCATTTCTGTCAGAATTTAGATAGTATGAGTAAAGTCAAAAAATTGCTACAATTTTTGAAGGTATAAAGAGCTCATGTAGCTCAGATGGCTCTTAACCCTTTTCAAAGGTTGACATAATGCCATAGATTTCTGGCAGTTTTAACTGCCTTTCAGGAATATTAGAAATGCTGCCTAAATTTAGACAAATGCAAAAATATTTGTTTCAAGGTCTTTTTGGTTTTGCTTTTTATATATTCATATATGATATATTAATTCTACATATATATTTACATTCATCCGTGGGGTATTTATCAGTAGTCTTACATTCCAGTTTAGTGCCATTTTTAAAATGAAGGAAGTTTTGAAGCCATTGTCAATTATCTACTGATCAGGAAGCCTTTTTCAAACAGTAGAGCTCAACGAAATGAAAGGTTTGTAATGGAAATGTTTTGTTGATTGGCCTTATTATAAATGTAATAATTGAAGGGTTCTGAAGGAATGTTTTGAAAATTATTAATTTCAAAGCATATAACTTTTTTGGGGTGAAACTGAAGAATTGGGATTGTTCAGTATAGATAAATAATTTATGTGAATAATTGATATGTGCTAAAATTAGTGAGTTTTAAGGACTTTTCAACACATTTGATGTATCTCCATGTTCTTAATATTGGATGGGTTTGGCTCCTGACCAACAATCTCTTGCCTGTCAAGAAATCAAAGTTGTAAAGTAGATTTTGTTAATAAAAAGAACATGTTAGTAATGTTATGTCCTGCTTCTGAAGCTAGAAGCATGTAGTATATACTTAGTTAAAGATTTTTTAAGGGAATGCATCCATTACAAGAAACTCAGATCACATTGTATTGGAACTCCTTCTCTCCTGATCTGTGAACTATATTTACCTTGATAGATCAAAATAGACTAAAGTTGCATGTAAGTTTATCTATAAGTTATAAAATTATATATTCACTTTACCAAACATGAAGTTATTTTATTCTTTTAGATACAAACACAAACAGATGCATATGCACACACTCACACACATACCTAGGCAAGGATGGCTACATAATTGTGGAGCCCAGTGCAAAATGAAAATGCAAAGCCTGTTGTGCAAAAGCAGGGGGGAGGGGGAAACGCGATTTCCTTTATTCACAGTTTCAATTGACCTGAGAAAGGTTATTTTTATTTGCTATTTAATGTTAGGTTCTCTAGAGCATAGGGATACTTGTGGGCCTGACCCATTACCCCAAACCACCCTGACTTGTGCCAAGAACCCTACCAAGAGTGAAGGGTGGCAGCAATCACTGTGTAGGGGAACAGGTGGCTGAGGACCTGTCCCTGGAAAACACTGAGAAGCAGGACTGCATGCAAGTCTAAGGTATATGCCTCATCGCCCCATAGGACTTCACTTATATACACAAATTCAAAGGTAAGGCTGTTAAGAATATCAAGACTGTGGCAGCAGAGCCTTAAAGGCAAAGGTAGGCCTTTTGGAGCAAAGGTCCCTGTGCACAGTCACAGGCCCCTGAAGTTGGTTCTGTACATAATAAACTTATATCACATAAAAATAGCAGTGACTTTATGGCTTTCTTCCACTTTGGCTTAAAAACTATTTGGGTTAAAAATTACTCTGACCAACGGCGAAGTTATGGGAGCATTCTGCCCTGGGTGCAATCATTAAGAAGGTGCACTGTTTCTAGAAATTTATAAATGATAATAAAACCAACTAAAAGTTGGTCCACTTTATATTATCACCCTGCACCACCAACTAAATGTCACTGATAAAATGTTTTTCATAAAATCTTTCTGTTTCTCTAAGTTCTAAACAATTGCTGTGGTTATTGTTGTTTTAATAATATGCGTATATGATTCAAATGAGCACATTTTTATGATTACCCTTTAATAAACTTTATAGTCTTTGTAGATTGAAAAAGTAGATTCCAAATAAACAGTGATGACACAGTAATTGTAAAGACAAAGAATTAGAAATAGAGTTACTTCAATTCTGTTCTTTTATGTGATCACTTGGAGTTTTGTTTTTAATTTAAAAATTGTGATAATGACACTGAATTGTGAGGGGTAATGTTTTTGTTAGGTAAATGTAAACTTCATGCATGAAATATTTCATTGAATTTGAATAATAACTTTGAAATTTATTCTCCTTTCGAAAATTGTCTATCACTTTGAAGTTAAAGAACAGATCAGGAAATGAATGGTTATTACTCATTATTACTGAGTTGTGATTTTGTTTTATAGAGCAGAGAGAGGTGTTTAAAAAGTACGTACTCCAAATATCAAATATGCTAAGCCAGGCCCTGAAAATACATTTGTACTTTCCTATGTCTTATTGCTTTTTCACTTAACGAGGATTTAATCTGAGGTTCACTTTCAAGGACTTTTTGTCAAGTACACAAAATGTATGTTACTAATATCCTTCTGTTAGATATTTTCATTTTAAAACAAAACAAGGTAAGTTCTGTGTTAGAAGAGTAAAGTGGAAAGCGACTGTTTCAGTTCTAATAAATAGTTGAGATTAAAGGTAAGTAGCTTTTTTTTTTTAGCTTGGCCAGATACTTATCTTAATGTTGACTTTTTAAGGGTAAACTTAATTGTAGGAATCCAAGTATTTCTGGGTTATTTAATTGATTAGATTGCATTACTATTTATACTTAATGGAGGTTGCTTTCTTCTTTCTTTCTGCTTCCCTGATGTTTCCCCCTTCCTGCAAAGGAGTGCAACGCCCCCCGCAATGCCTGCCCTCCTGGCATATCCCCTGTTAGAGCTCTGATCCCAGATGCAATTCCTGTTCGCGTGTTGCCTCCTCCACTAGATGAGAGCTCTAGGGGAGCAGGGACTGTGTTCCTGGCCCTGAGCACAGAGCCTATCAGGTAGCGGGTGCTCGGTAATTATTATTTGGATACAGGTAAATTGAATTTAGTGCATACTTCTTCTCAGTCTTTTAAATTAAAATGACAGTGTGCCTGAAGCAATTACTTTGAAGTTTATTTATTGTATTTATATGATAACTGTGGAGAAAAGATGGAGGGAGGGCTCATGGTGAGAACAGGGAGAGAGGGAAGAGCACAGAGGTGGGGGGGCTGCTTCTTTGGGTGATCTAAGTATATTTATGTATTCTTTTCTCTTAGAGCATAATGTTTAATACTTGTTGAGGAAGGCTTTTTTTTTTTGGAAATGAAAGACATTGTGTGTGTGGGTTAATGTCTGGTGATCTGTTGTTGGTATAGAAGTCGGAGTGGGAGGAACTAAATTTATGTGACAGTGGTCCATGTAGTCAGAAGCCCATTAATTTACACATCATGGTAACAGTTTATTGATGAGTACAACCAATTAATAAAAAATATAAATTTAGAGTATTATGAAAAAGCACTCCAAAAGCAGTGTAATAGTTTCTTGTCATGTAAAAATGCAGAATTTTAGGCTTAATCCTAGTATCTGACTGAGCCAATGAATATTGGAATTAAAAGCAGGAACCAATCTGGAAAATGGGGGGTAAATTTTCAGAACGTATTTCCAGGTTTATTTTTACTCTGGGTTTATATCATAAGTGATGCTTCTCTATAGCTGTTTCATCATCTTTTATGAAAGGGAATGAACTCAGATCTTGCTTGGTGTTCTCAAAGATTTTAGGACAGCTCCTATAATTAGGTCTTCAACTTCCTAGTTTTAGGAATGTTGCGTCTCTTTTGTTGGACCTGGTTTGCTTTTCCAATTAGTAGTTTTTGTAATTGAGCTATATCGATAAAGTAAATACTTGATGATAATTCAGATACAATAAAGATAATCATGAATACTTAAAGCAGGAGTAATATTTATCAAAACCTATAGGTCTTTTATGTGAATGTGGCTTCAAGGCTTCAAATTTGCAAGTCTGTGGAGCTCAGAGAAGTGGGAAATAAATGCGGTTTATGTTTTCTTATCAGACTCAGTTCACATGACCAGTTTGAGTGTAAATAACTTTACCTCCTTAAACAGATCAGTAAGTCTCAATCATTTTTTTCACTGACGGTATTGTTCAGTAAGTTCATTGTCTTCTCACATTGGTAAGAAGCTAGTAGGAAATGAGACCAGATGGTTCTATAACAGATAAAACAGACAACCACTTAACACTATAAATGATTATATATGTTTTCCCTAATATTTTTTTTTCTTTTAAATTTGTGTATGTGTATGTATATGTGTGTGTGTGTGTGTGTATATGTGTGTGTGTATATATGTGTGTATATATATATATATATATATGGTGTCCCCAGAAATATAAACATACTTTTAACAGCTTATTTCTATTACATTTTGTAAAATGAAATGTGTTTTAATAAACACNGGTGTCCCCAAAAATATAAACATACTTTTAACAGCTTATTTCTATTACATTTTGTAAAATGNATATATATGGTGTCCCCAGAAATATAAACATACTTTTAACAGCTTATTTCTATTACATTTTGTAAAATGAAATGTGTTTTAATAAACACTGCCTTTATAATTATTCAGTGTATATACATTTTTGGGGACACCCTGTATATATATATATATTATATGTATTATGTGTATAATTTAGTTCTTTATTGCCACTGTAACAAATTACCACAAACTTAGTGGCTTAAGTAATGCAAATAATTATTTTACAGCTTTGTTGGTCAGAAGTCTGACACAGTGTCCCTGGGTT